TATATGGCGAACACCTGTAAAACTTCACTGAACTGCACACCCCTATAGTGGACTGTCTGCTACACCTCAATTTTAAATGTTTGAAAACTAAGCAAGTCCCCTGAATGTTGCCTGGTGAGCAAAGAAGACTCTGATGGATGCGGGTCGGATCCACGGTGTCCTTGACACTTCAAATTGAGGCCTCAGCCTCTAGGGTACAGAGTCAGGCTGTGAAAAAGAGCCAGGTAGGGAGAAAGGCAAATGTCTTCAGCTTTAGCCAAGATTGAGCTGTTCTCAGCCAAATTTGAGTGTATGGTACATTATACGAGAAGATTTCCTCTAAAAATTGTGCGTGCTAACTTTCACTAGCCAAAATTGTAAAAAATGATAACTAAGCCAGCATCTCCCAGTTTCTAAATGGTGTGAAGAAATGGAAGTTGGTTGTATTTCTTAGCACAAGTCTTGGAGAAGACTCTTAGTCATCAGTAATACGTCAGCAAAGAGCCAGGTGGAATTTTCTCACTCACCAAACCATAGTCATTGGAGGGAAAAAGAGGCCTCCACCTGGTCATTGAGGTTTTAGACAGACACAGGTTGGCCTTATTTTCCAACAAGGCTCTCATGCAAAGGAGTTGGCAGGCATGTGAGGGACATTTCTTTAATCTCCAAGTCTAGGAGCTGCTCCTTATGAAATTCTGGCTTTGTGATGTTAATACAAAGGTCCTTGGGGTCCAGCCCTACTTCTCAGGGCTGTGTGGGGAGATGTGAGAAGCAGCTCTGATCCCCTTTGAACCCTCTGGAGTGGGTTCTTTTTCTATGTCCTGGAATTTTCTTCCACAGATGAAGTTACTTGTCCCCTTAATCCTTTTGTTAAAAAACAAACACACACTCACACAAAAGAGACTTAGACAAATTTCAAACACCCTCCCTTTCTGTGCCCTCTTTGGTGGTAGAACTCAAAGTGGGACCTCAGACCCTTCTGCCCACCTTGGATAATCCTTGGAGTGCAACAAGTAGGGCCTTTCTTGCTCTGGCCCTGGCTTACTCTCTGGGGAATCACCCACTGTCACCAAACAGCACAAAGCTCCTCAGGGGGCTGCATTCATTTATTCAATAATTCATTCATTCTTTCATCAAGTCTCCATCAGACATTTCCTCTAAGCCCAGCTCTGGGCCAGGCTCTGGGGAGACACTGGGAACACGGCCCAATCCCCATGTCAAGCTGAGTGCAGACCAGTGGAGAAAACACGCCTTAAAGGATCACAATTCAGTGGGGACTATTGATATGGGGGAGTCTGGGGTGCTGTGGGAGCACATGTTCAGGGAGATCTCCCTCAGGAAGTGGTGTTTCCTCCAAGACCTAAAAAGGATGAGAAGGCATCAGCCAAGCAGGTTGGGAGGAGTGTACCGGGTGATGGGAACAGCTCCCATAGTTGCTGGGAGGAGGGAGAAAGCATGGCTCTCAGGGAACCCAAGTAGTTGTTAGTGGCAGGAGTGTGGGATGTAAGGGAAACCAGCCCCTATTTCCTCCCTGAGCCTCCCTCGTTTGACTGCCCCAGTGTTCCCTGCACTCCAGCCACCCTGGCCTCCTTGCTGCTCCCAGAACATGCCAGGCACAGCCCAGCCTCAGGACCTGACTCTCCCCCCAGCCATTTATTTGGCCAACTCTCTGCTTCCTTCAAGTTTGTGCTCACATCTCACCTTCTCAATGAGGCCTATTTGTCACCCCATATTGTCCCCACTTCCATGAGCCCCGCCCTTCCCCCCTGTACTCTTCCTTTTCCTCTAGTATTAACCACTGTTCTCTGCCACTTTATCGACTCAATATGTTCATCGTCCATCTCCCCCTGTGTGCACCACAAGGACAGGAACCTTCATTGTGCTCACTGAGGCAACCCAAGCCCTTGAACAGCAAAAGGAAGAAATAGGATTTGAGAGGCTGGCAGGGAGGGGCTGGATTCCAGAGGCCCTGTGGGCCAGGGGAAGGCACCTGGGTTTGATTCCAAGAGCAAAGAAAGGGAAGGCACTGAAGGGTCTGAGTGAGGCAGAATCAGGGTCTGAGTTATAGATTAAAAGCTCACTCTGGGTCTGTGTGGAAAATGGGTCAAAGGAGAGCATCTACGGTCAGTACCTACATACCTGGTGGTGGCACCTAGGCTGGAGGCAGAGCCATGAGGAACTGGGGAGAAGTGGCTGGACACCAGAGATTCACCAGGAAGTAAACTCACCAAGCCACAGTGATCTGATGACTGTGAGGTTGTGGACACCCAGGCTCCTGGCCTGAGGAGCAGGGTCACTTACTCATCCTTATATTCAGAAAAATGCTCCCTGGGATGTATTCCTATTTTCTCTATTTTCCATTTTAGTAACCTAGTGTGCAACATTATAAGATAAACATATACAATTGTGTATATTTCTTTCATTAATACTATAAATGTAATCAAATATGCACAATACAGTTATTAAATGTATTCAACACTACTATATTATTTAATATTTAATAAAGTTCACTTTTAAATGCCAAAAAATAAATAAATTGTGGACTTTAGTTAGTAATGGTTAATCTTTGCTCACTAATCATAACAAGTGATTATACGACATACATGTACAGCCTCATACATGTAAGGTGTTAATAATAGGAAACTGGGTGTACAGTAGAAGGGAATGCTGTACTACCTTCCTAATTCTTCTCTAAATTTAAAACTGTTCTAAAAACTAAAGTCTATTTAAAAAAAAAAAAAAAAAAGAACATGAGTCTTATAAATGCCACACACACCACACACACATCCCGAGAACTATAGCAATTTTTTTCCTCTGGAGGGGACTTTGATCCCAGCCAGATCTTTCTGTGGCCAAAAGATGTAGGGACATTATGAATTTCTCATCATCCCCCCCTCTGCCAAGAAACAAGGGATCCTCACCTCCACCTACTTTCTTTCTGTTTACAGAAAGAATACTCTCCACAGGCCAGATTTCATAGTGAAAATGAGAAGCAGAAACTAAATGACTCAGGTAAGTCAGACCCACCTAGAATTCTTCCGGTGCAACTGGAGTTAATTCTTTCCACATGCTCCACAAAAGCCCGTCCCTTAGCCACCCCTTTGCTCAATAGCTGATTTGGTTTTCCTCTTGCAGCAAAAGTTTTGGCTCCATTGGGTTCAAATTCCAGCTCCACTACTAAATAGTTATGTGATCTTGGTCAAGTCACTTGAGCCTTATTTTCCTCATCTCTAAAAGGGACATAACCATAGCTTGATCAAAGAGCTATTGAGTGGATTAAGTGAGATGAACTGTAAATTGGATATAGTTTCAGAACGGCAAAGGTCTGGCATCATGCCTGGCACTCCTGATGGCTGGTTGTTGACAAGAGACTTGATCAATATGACCAATCAGTGAGCCCCCTGAAGAGCAAGTGTCCCCTTGAGACCCTGGGTGGTGTCTAAGGTGTGTCAGGTTGATCCTCAGGACACTGGGTGGTGTCAGAGGGACAAAGAAGTGCAAGGATCTCTGATTCAGAGCAAAACGGGCCTGGAAAGTGGCCAAGGACCATCCAAAGAGGGCTTGGCTAGAAATTGGCTTAGGAGGCACCAAGGCTGGAGATGACACAGAGGCAGAGGGAGGTGGTGCTGTGTGGCTGAGACCCCTAACAGTCAGCTCCATTCCCTGGCCCACCCAGGCACAGCCTTGAACGAAGACTATCCAGTACCCTGGACAGCTCCAGAGATCTCTAGATTTCAGGGGCGCAAGTTTTGTGGGCTGAGAACTGGGTTGGATCTTGACTGCAAGCATGGGCAAGCCACCTTACTTCCTTAAGTCTCAATTACCTCACCTCTAAACTGGAGGTGATAGTGATACCTACCCTTCAGGACTAATGCTAAGAGTAAATGAGATAAAATAGTTAAAGATACAGAGGCGCAGAATGGCCTATGTCTGAAAGTCAGACCATCTGAGCTCGTTTCCTGGCTCCACCCTGTGTGACTTCAGAGAAGTTGCTTAACCTCTCTGAACCTCGGTTTTCTCTCACCTGTGAAGTGAGACTGCTAATAGACTCACTTCATAAGGTCATGAAGATTAAACAAGAAGCACACAATAAACATTAGTGTTTTTTTTAAACAAATCTTAGCACAGCACCAGACGCAGAATAGATAATCAGAGCTAACATCTTTCAACCCACCCATCTGACTTTGCCCCTCTCACTTTTAGACTCTTTTTGATTGGTCTTCCTGTCTCCAACTGTTAAAGGCAGTCATCAAAGCCTAGGAAATCAATCTTGTGCAGTCCCACAGACCTTGACTCTCAACCTTCTCCCCCCCCCCCCGCAAAGTCCCCTCCTTCTCAGTGCCACCCACCCCAAGATGCTTGGGATAATTTTTGATAAAGTGCTAGTATGCTAGTAGTGTTTGCTCTATGCCAGCCACTGTTCTAAGGTGTGTGTATATATATATATATATACATCCCACTATTTGTGTGTGTGTGTGTGTGTATGCGTGTGTGTCTGGTTAACCTCACAATCCTGAGAGAGAAGCACTCTGGTTATCCCCGTTTTACAGATGAGGAAACAGTTTCTTCAAGGTCAAGTAACTAAGTTGTGAGGTCACACAGCTATTGGTGGCACTGGGAACTGATCCCAGGTATGGCACTTCAGAACCCCACTTCTGGTCGTATTCAACGAGGCCAAGGGCCAAAGAATAGAGAAGAGTGGGCGGGAGCCAGAGGCTGGAAGTCAGCACTCGGCTCTTCTCACCTTGGCGCTGAAACCCCGGGTTTGGGAGTCCTCCCGCCAAATTCTCACTCTCTCCCTGCCCACTATCTGGGCGCAGATACCTACCGGCCTCACCCCGGCCCCCCCTTCTCCCGGCGGCGTCTCCTGCCCGCCCCTCCCGTCGCGCGGTAACCTGAGCCGCGGCGGGGTTTGGGCAGCAGGTCAACGTCACAGTGGCCGAGGCGCTCAGGCTGGGCCTCCGCCCCCGCCGTGCGCTCGGGTCCCGCAGTGCCGACTCCGCAGTCGGGCGCTCGGGCGCATGGCGCAGAGGCTGGGCGAGTGGGCGCGGGGACCCGCCGAGGCCACCGGGCTGTACCGGGCCGTGCTGCTCAGGTCGGGTAAGTGGGGCAGTGCCCTCCGCTCCCACCCTCGCCACAGGGAGACACCAGAAGGGCGCTGGGTGCACAGAGCCAGCCCTTGGCTGGCCCGGCCTCTGGGCGCCTCCGTCCTGTGTAGCTCTGCTTTCCTATCCCTCCACCATCCTTTAAAGTTATTTTTCCCCCTTTTCTTCTTTCGTTCCTTTTTTCCTTCCCTCTTTCCTTTTTTCTTCCTACATTCATCCTTTTGGGGATTTGTTCTTACATATATTGTCTTCTTCTTAACACATGAGCGCACACACACTTTCTTAACTTCAAAAGTCCTGCGAGGTTCCCCTCTGCAGAAACTCACAGCGCGCGTCCGGAGGGGCGTGAGGTTTGGGCCGGGAGAGCGGGTCCGCACCACCCAGTAGCAGCCAGCCATGGGGCGGAAAGAGGCGCAGCCGGGTAGCCGGCCGGCGAAGGACTTCTGGCATCCAGTGGGGCGTTACACAGGAAGGGGAGCAAGTTACAGGTACGGGGAGGAACCGTTTTTCTGTGTATTGCGTGCAGCGATTTGGAAGGAAACACTGTGGTTTTATTCTTTGAGGATGGGGGTTGGATGACAGGTGTGTTTATTTTCGAAGTCTTTTGGTTTGCTTGCTTGCGGTGAGCACCTATTACCTTTCTACTCGGGACGATAAGAGGGGTTTTTAGGGAAATAAAGAAAACGTAGTATATGATCAGTTTCCAAATATTTTGGAAACGGGCAGGCAGGAAGAAGAAAACGAAGGCCCACCGCAAGCCTTCCGCGCCTTTCCTTGCGTGCTCTGTGCTCTGTGCGGGGAGAGGTGTTTAGAGGTGATGATCGGCCTGGTGCCGGTCCTTGCCAGCGGGGGGCTCGTGATTACAATATGCCAAGGCACTTGGGCTCACAGGTCAGCCATCCCTTTCCTCCGGCAAAGAGCCCGCCCCACCGGTACTCCTGCCCGCAGACCCCTGGAGCCAAGAGCGCGAGTTGAACCGGCTGCGGGTCTGCAGTGCCCCACCGGTCCCCGCGGGAACTGGGTGTCTTTCTAATTTAGACGGGAAAGGAGCCCTGTAATCAGACGGCTCTGAAGTTCTGGCAGAGGCGGGCAGACAGAGGGAAAGGATGTAATCATACGGGTCTGATTTCAAATCCAAACACTCGGCCTGAGTGACCCCACCCAGTTCTTATCTTCTCCCAAGGTGGAGACTGTTCCCCTTATCCCGGCGCTGCAGCTGTGAACCTCACACTCCTAGATTTCAACCTATCCGGAATAGCAAACATGTCAGAGTCATCGGGGTACCACATGCTTTGCCCTCATAACTGTACCACACTCAGCTACAAACTGGGAAGGGAGTAGAGGCCTCTCTGGAGGGGAGGGAGCGCTTTACTGAGGAAGCGTTTAGCTGTGTGCTGGGCACTGTGTGGTGGCTCCTTCACTCCTCACAACCCTACAAGGACATTGATTGATTACCATCTCCATTTGATAGAAGAGGAGGCTGAGGCTCAGAGAGCCCTGAGCAGCTTGCTCACTGGCTGCTAAGAAACATTTTCTACCCCCACAAAGAGACAGAAAACACATTCAAACTTAGATCCATCCTTGAGAATAGTGATGATAATAATGGCAAATGATTGGTAGATATTCATTATTGCCCTCTCTTGGTCAAATGCTGTATACCTGTCATCTCTACTCCATTCCTTCATTTATTCATTCACCAATATTTAGTGACCTCTTATGCCCTCGGCTTTATGCAAGGCATAGGATGTATTGATAAAACAAATACCTCCCTCCTCTCAGAGTGGTAAGTAAAGTTAACCTGTCTGGGAAGAATGAGGAAACAGAAAGTCACATGACTTGCCCAAGGTCTAAAGTCACACAGCTAGGCAAGGAGGGGTGGAGCTGAGATTGGAACCAGGACATGTTGCTTCTGGAAGGACTCCTCTGGTGGCTTTCACACAAGAAGTAAGAAGTGAGAATGGGAGGAGGAGGCCAACTTGGACGTTTGGTGAAGGTGCGTCTGCTACTCCCTTTCAGAAGCCCCGCAGAGGAGAGTCTGGAGTCATTTCCAAGACAGCCATTTTTATTTACAGCAACCTCACGTCATGCACCAAGTATTATAACACTTTTAGAAAAATGTTCATCCCAAGCTATTTCAAAATAATGTATTAATATTAAAGTGATACATGTTCACCATAGGTTTGTTTTGTTTTGTTTTTTGAGACATAGTCTCACTCTGTTACCCAGGCTAGAGCGCCCTGGTGTCAGCCCAGCTCACAGCAACCTCAGTGCCTGGGCTCAAGCCATCTTCCTGCCTCAGACTCCCAAGTAGCTGGAACTACAGGTGCCCTACAGGAACCTGTCACAATGCCTAGTTCATTTTTCTATTTTTAGTAGAAACAAGGTTTCACTCTTCCTCAGGCTGGTCTCAAACTTCAGCTCAAGGGATCCTCTTGCCTCAGCCTCCCAGAGCGCTAGGATTACAAGCATGAGCCACCGTGCCTGGCCTTGCCATAGATATTTTCAGACATTGAAAATGAAGAGGGAAACTTAAGTCATAATCCCACAACTCACAGGCAGCTGCTGGTGATGTTGGGAAGTGTCTCCTTCCAGTGGTTGCGACTATAGTTTGTGTATGTGTTTTACACTATTGAGATTGTCCTGACTCTAGTTTTTAATGCTACCTTTTTCATTTGGATGTAAATATTTTATGCTCTGAAATTATCAAAATAATAACCTCCACTTATGGAGCCCTGACTCTGTGGCAGGCACTTGGTAAACCACTTTCCATACGCTATCTCCTTTGTTCCTCAAAAGAACACCTGCCCCATTTTAGAGATGAGAAAACAAGGAGTGGAGGATCACCTACTTGTCTGGCAGTGCAGCTAGGATCAGGATTGGGGTTGCTCTTAATGACTGGGCTGGAAAGGCCACCTCTGTGGGGTAACTCAGGCTCAGCCATGCCTGGGAATCTGTAGTGAAAGTCCACCTGAGGCCCGTTAGCTCTCACCCACCTGGGGCTCCCTGAGGAAGAGGAAACCACCTCTCTGCAGTGTGGACAAAAGGGAACCTCTGCAGATGCCTGTGGGCAGCAGCAACTGTATTTCTCCTCTGGGGAGAGAAGTGCAACCAGAGCTTCCAGATCTGCCTCTGCCAGGTAGGGTTTGCCAGACAAAATACAGGGCACTCAGGTAAATCTGAATTTCAGATGAATGGTAAAAAGAATTTTAGTGTAAGTAGGTTCCAAATATTGTATAGAATATAGTTATAGTACAAAAAATCATTATCTGAAATTCACATTTAACTGGATGTGTGTCATTTTTGTTTGCTACCTCTAGCAAACAGGAATCATGGAAGTTTGCTTGACTTGACAAGCTTTGGTTTGCCCAGGTTTAAAACACACACACACACACACTCATATCCACTCCCATCCCTAGATCCACTGCCTCCCTTGTCTGGCTACAAGGAAATTAAAATGTGCTAGGGCTAGGGGGCACCCCAGGCTTCTTCTGCAGCTATGAGACCAAATTAACCGTGTCTAACTGCAGCTGGGGGGAGAGCCAGCTCTCTGAAACAAGACTCTCAGTTCTTCCCCCACCCCCTCACACTTTCCTGTTTTCAGCTTGAAATCCCTCCACTGGGGAAATTCTTCCCAGTTCAAACTTGTTGTAAAGGAGACTCTCATTCCTTTTATAATCGCTCCACAGACCCCATGACAAGCTTTTCCTGCCAGTACAGCTTCTTCTCCCTTGAGTCCTTTCAGCAGAGCATGTTTGGGGGGCACGGTTTGATCCTGGGTCTGTTTTGTGGGTGGCTTCTCAGAAACCTCATTGAGGCGGTGAAAAGGGGTCTTGGAGATTTAGACTGAATACAGGGCTGAGGAAGTTTTGAGTTGCCATGGAAACTTCTTCTCTAATGTTTGTGGGCCCAGATATGCTGCTCCAGGCACCCACTGGCTTTGGAGAAAGGGGGCAAAAATGCTAAGAAGGCCAATTTTGGAGGTTTATTTTCTGCACACTGCAGCCCAGTGTAGTACAGATGCTAGAAAGTTCCCTGGCTCCTGCTCAGAGCTGCCTCCCCTGGACTTCACTGCTTTCCTTTCTTCCTTTTGGCTCCTCTAGTTCCCAACAAATCAGACCTTAAAGGGACAAGAGTGTGGGAGAGCTGTGCTCAGTCTCTGGGAGCACTCTGGAGCGCTCCAGCCCACTGAGGGGCTAAGCAAGAACCCTGAACCCCAAGCTCCCAGTATTTCAGAGTCCCTCCTTTTGGAAAGTGGGAAAACCTCAATGGAAAACCACACAGAAGGAAGCAGGAGGCAGCAGCTGGGTCTTGAATCTGCCATTACCCAAAACAAATTCCTGAAAGCCTCAGTTCCACAGGAGCCCTCTATTTTCCCATATTCACAACGGACATATCGGAAGCAGATATGCTTCATAACTAGCTATAGTTGCTTGGAAAAGGTTTGCTCTTTCTCAATTTTTAATCTTTAGAGCTTTCTTCTGATCACAAAAGCAATATATGCTTGAGGTTTTTTCTAAGTTACAGTCATTACATAAATAGAGCAACAAAGGAGAAGAACCTTTAATTTTACACCATAGAACAGTGGTCCTCTAATTCTCTAATATAAATGAATTCTGGGGGAGTATGTTAAAAGTCAAGATTTCTAGGCCGCTCAGAGATTCTGATAGAGCAATCCACAAGCATGTACCAGCAATTCCATTTTAACACTCATTTCAAATGATGTCTAGTGAGATCATTTGAGATACATTGATCTAGAACTGACCTCTGCTAACAGATTAGTGTATATGCCTCCAAATGATCAACTGAGTCTCTGTGTACATACTAACTTTTTTATCTTGGAAGAAAAAAGATACTGCATAAGTGCATCTGATTTTGCATTTTTTGGAACAAAGTCTCACTCTGTTGCCCTGGGTAGAGTGCTGTGGCATCCTAGCTCACAGTAACCTCAAACTCTTGGGCTCAAGCAATCCTCTTGCCTCAGCCTCCCAAGTACCT